GCATGAATCTTAAAAATGGATCGGGAGGCAGAAACGTTGAATAATAAATAAATAAAGTGAAAACGTTTGTAATTGGTGATATTTCGCCTAATATTTTTAAAAAACTGGTAATTTAATTAAGGATTATTGCAAAATGTAGATTAATATACAAAATCAGTGTATGCATATCGTTTTGCCATTTTTTATAATTTGAACCTGAGAAAGATTGATTAATTTTTTCTCAGATTCAAATTTCAGATTTGATGAAAACTCAGTTTTAACTTCATGGCCATTTACTACATGGCCAAACTCTAATTTAAAAATTCTTGGGACACAGCTCCCACAAAATTATTCATTACACCCAATATAGCAAATAAATACTTTAATAATCATAGTACCCATTCACATTTTCAACTCACAAGTAATCATGGTTCACTATTGTAGAGTCATCAAAATTATTTCCAAATACCAATACCCTTCTTAAATTCGTTATTTTCTATTTTCACAAAAAAATTGATTTATTACTAAGCATTCACAAAATTAAGTTGTTAGGAGCTAAACTTGATTTATTGGAAGATATAATAATGATACAATGTGACAATCTCCAAATTTTTCCAAAAGAAAACATATATCTAATTAAACGAAATATAAAGAAAATAATAGAACATAGTCTTATATGAACAATAGAAAAACAGCTGGGAGTTAATCCTTCGGAGCACCATAAACACTCCCGAAATCTACGGAGTCCACTATCTAACTGAACCCTGGTGATCTCCAAGTTCAACAAGATCACGAAACAACAGTAAATTATCACATGCAAGTGATTTATTTAATCAAAACAAACTATTATGTATCGTAATAAAACTATTTTATTCTTCACCGAAACACATGGTTCTGTAATATTATTTCATCAACAAACACTTAATATTTGAGCCTCAAGGCTTTTAAATACTACTCTTCAAATAAATAATTTAAACTTTCATTAATTAAAAACTTCACATCTTCCACACCTTGTAACAACCAAGTTAAATTATGATTCCAACACTCCACATATTATAATTTTATGGATATATTTTATTGTAGTTATTATTTTTATTGTTACTTCTCTAAGTTTTACTTATTATTTTTATAAAACTAAAATTCGTATTCGTATCACCCAAAACGGAGAAATTCGTATCTGAGAGGGGAGAATTAATGTGTTATATTTTCCCTTATTCCATATAAAATTATAAGACTTTCTCACGGTTGTAATGTTAGTTCTAAAAATTAGCTCCTGGGAACACTAGCCAAGCCTGTCAGCTGTTTATATATATATATATGAAATCATACACCAAATAGATACAAAATATAATAGTCATATATATATATATGAAATCATACAACAAATAGATACAAAATATAATAGTCATATAAATGTTACAACACATAGACAATGGAAGATTCCGTCTTTCGAGGTCTGTGTTATATTTCTACAAAATATGTTCCATTTTATATCCTTAACAAATTAATGAGCAATAATATTTTTTCCTACGTTATGAACAGCATCTTAAAATTGTGTCCCAGTTTTCCATCCTTCAAAAAAAAAAATTATTGTTTTTTTTTTAAATAAAAATTAAAAGTCAGCAAAAATTGAACAACAAACAATAAATAACAATGAAAAGTAGTAAATACCCAAGTAGATTAAGTACATGTTATAATAAATAATAAACAATACAACAATAACAAATAAATAAGGCATTTTACAAATCGCTCACAAACTAACTATGCATAATTACTTAGGGCATTCCAATTAGCACCTCTCAATATACTTAATAATTCCTCTGGCGAACATGTCTGCTGACCAAAATAGTTTTCCCTGATCTCACTATGATCTGACATGACTGGACCCCAGGAAGTGCGTGGTGTCTTTTTTTCCCCGGAATCAGAAACCCTCCTGCACTAACGATTCAACGCTTAAATTAAATAATTGAGCCCTTCATCGGAAAATGGACCTTATCGATACAAGATCAAAACTCTCATTGAGAAAGGGTGATACATTGTCAAAATCACATAAACCTGCGTATATAGAAAAATTGTTCTGCAGACATTTTTCGATATTGCGTTGTTTTCCGATTTCTCAACCATATGTTTAACCGAGAACCAATTTACAAGTAGGTCGGCAAAGTATGAAGCCTAAAATGAAAAAAATCCTGTAATACCAACCACTTCCGGCAGCAAAAAACTTTATTTTTGATCACTTCTTTCGTTAGAATGTCCAGAGCATTAAAAAAAAAAAAATCAAAATGTATTTTTAGCGTATAAGCATATATATAGGCGATACCCGTCTTATGCGCCAAAATGTGATTAGGTGCATACCTCGGGAGGAGTAACAATTATTTTATAAAATATCTTTTGAATTTTTCTAATGCATCAAATTGTTCAAAATCCCAAACCTGTCCAGCATAGGTAACCACCGCCCGTGAGACAGGCTTGTATACTTCTAATTTACTTATACAGCCAATATTTTTGTAAGCCATAAAATTAAGCCAAGCAGAGTTCAATCCAAACTTTGCATGACTATATATATATATATATATATATATATATATATATATATATATATATATATATACAGAAAACTATATATACCAGTATATGGAGAAACTATCCATGACATGATAACAAAAAGGTTGGAATTTGAAAATTAAAAATATATCTCAAATATCAATAACAAAAAGGTAAAACAAAACTTCACCCCATTTTATTTAGTTCCTTTTAAAATCCATATGATTTAATTTATTGATATATGTATATGTATATATGTATATATATATATATATATATATATATATATATATATATATATATATATATATATATATATATATATATTTACATATTCATATATAAAGATGCCTGAAATTTTATTTAGTGAAAATTATTATTAATATTGTTTAAATACTTTATTGAAACTCAAAAAGTACCAAATAACAATAACTAAAGTAACTAAGTTCAACTAACAACTCATCATTTCCGTAAAATTTCTTTTTACGAAACACAATATTTTTTTTTAGTATTGTAAGGTACTTCTGAATGGTATTTGATTAATTAATTACAACCAAAACTATTTTTTAAGACTTTTTATAAATGCCCATATGAAGTTAAACATACTTTATATATGTAATTTGTAAAAGATTACATAGATATAGTTAATTTTTTATATATATATATATTCAACATTCCGTCCATTTTAAATATGAAGACGTATTCTTCGGAAAAATAAACAACTTTCAAATCTAATTTTGGTCGACATTTTTTTTTCCACCTATTAGAATAATGTTCTTTTATTAATTATATCGCCGGCCTATTGCAAAAAGTCATTAAACAACTTTCCATAAGATTAAATCATTACTTCTTTTATGGAATTTTCTCTCTTTGAAATAAGAACATTGTGTACTTATTTTTGATATGCAAAATAGGGTTCGTCCCATTTAGATACACATAGATATTTTTTGCATCGATAAATAATATCGAATTTCCAAAAGACTTACTTTAAAGTTTAGCGCCTTCAAGAATATACTTATAATTAGTAAAATTAATTTTCAAATAAAGCGATGATAAATAGCCCTCCCTAATTAATGAAATGCCGTTCTGATTTAGCCAAATATTGCGTACCTATTCAAAGCCTTCATTGTAAAAGACATACGATTGTGCATGATGATAAACGTTTATTGGATGCCTAATACCCTAGTTCTAAAGAATTTTTACAATGGAATTAAATAATAACAAATAAATAAACGAGAGTAGAGATAAATAAATAATAGTGATTAATAAATCAAGGTATAATCATATCCATCATCACAGGGGTGCCAACATATTTTTCTCGAGATTGTTGAACATATTAACCGATTCACTCAACAAACTGACACCTCTTGGTACGAACCTAATAATTAATTTCAGAAACCTTTATTCTCTTTCGTCAAAATAACTTATAATGGCTCAAATAATTATCAAAATTGTAGTATTTCATTTTTTAAAACATTATTAATACATATAATTATATATTTTCCATTAAAAATATAATTAATATACCGTGAAAGTTATCTGTTATTTCCAATCACCTGCTCCATTTCTTCCAACAACAACTTATCAGAAATGAAAACAGACTCTTCATTATCATTTACTGTGTGGTCAAACAAACTTTGGCAAAATGGAATTTCAAAGTTTTCAAACCACACATTAGTTGTATAAAATAATTACTATAGCATATAATATCTTTTCTATTTTTTCACTTAAAGAAGGTTTGAAAATGGTTTCTTTATATAAAAATGAAACCTCACGAGCATAATATCCTCGGGCAGGCCTTTTTTTTTCTAATTCGAAATTATATTGTTCATCTCAAAACTGAAGAAAACAATTGTCTTTAGAAAAATAAAGTACATTTCTCCGAGGAAAATATCTTCATGGAAGATACATTGTTTTAGTTTCACTTTCCATAATTGAGCTGTTATGTTTTCAAGTACGAAAAAACGATGGTTCAGTTGATAATTCGTAACGAAACCGGGTATTGGGATGATTGAAAAATCAACCGCCAAAAACGGGAAAATACCAGTCCCAGCATTATTTCTACGATATCCATTCATTCTCTGTATCGTATTCCACAGCCTCTTTCACCAAGAGTAGATAAAATATAAGGGAAAATATGCTGGTAAGAAGAAATACTAGACAGCTATCCCTAATTTGTAGACGATTCTATTTTCTTTCTTTCTTTTTTTTTTTTTTTTTGAGACGCAATCAAGAAAAAAAAATTCGTCATCGGAAAATTGTTGGACGAATTATTGAGTTTTGATGTCAAATAATTATAAGAGAACTGTGTGATTTTTAAGCCGAATAATCGGAGCTCAAGATGCAATATATAAGTTTTCCATTGGCTGGTGACTGTCTCCTATGTTATGAGAGACGGCTTAAGAGATTCTTCCTGAAGAGTCAGCTAAGAAATGGTATAGTAAAACTAGTAATGAGTGAGTGAGTGAGGTTGGTGGCTAGTTAGCATGCAAGAATAAAAGAAGTTGACTGACTGTTCTGTTGCCGAGGTTGCGGACCCTGCAGTAGAGGAAGGCGTTGCGGCCGACGAGTGCAGTCTCATTTTTGGAAAACGTGGTATCGAAATAGGGCCCCCTCGTCGCGGCTACTTCCGCCTCCTTCTCGATAGCCTTCATCTCTTCCCTACCCTCTCCGCCCACATTCTCTCCAGACCCCGGCACTGAAACTTAAAAAAATGTATATGTCAATAATTTTCAGAATTTTTAAATTTAAAAATTAAGGCGAGTAGTTGGAAATTGTGTCAAATGACTGAGTTCAAAGTACGTAGCAAATCAAAAGTAAACATGACAATGAAAATTTAACGTTTTAGAGGAATCGTGTTACTACGAATAATAGACACTCTTGTTTGCGTCGATATTTTAATTATTGAAAATTTATTCCGTTTTAAAATATGCGGGTACCATTTTATAGTAAAATATTAAAAATAAAATTTATGTTAAATAAAAAATAACTGTTCAAAATCCATCTACAACTTGGAAATCCTGTTTTTAATTACCTAGGATAATCCTGATGACTAATAATATGTACACTGATGCCGTATTCATCATCAACAGATTACGTCTCGATGAAGAAACACAACTTTTTCATAACTCGATAGTCAAAAACTATCTCTAATAGTTTATTTTAAATGCTGTATTCGGACCAAAAGGCCGCCGAAATGCTTGTTTGGATGGTAACTGAGGTGGCCGGTATGAATGATACCGAAGACGATAGAGAATGTAGTAGTCGTGAAAAGACGACTGGCGACGAGTTGAGGGCGAAGCCCAAGTGGCGAGGAGATGTTACCGAGGAGGGAAGCGAGGGCTCACTGAGGGCACCGAGGGGGCTCGGGGTGTGGCCATGTGGGTCGTCACTGCGCAGGCTAACATTCCCTCTTCCGTCGACCCTCCGGATCGGAAAACTCTATCTATCGGAGGAAATTCCTTTTGGAACGCCAATGAAAAGCTGAAAATAGACCACTTCAGCCTCTTTATTCAGACAATTATCGTTACCTTTCCAATAAACATCAACTACAATCATATTGCTCCATTAACAAATAGAATGAATAGATACCTTATTCAATTCCACTAATAAACATAATTAAATGGGATTTTTAAGTAAAGGAAATATCCTCGGAATGAATTTGGCAAAGTTGCCATTAACAACGATCCACGTATACCTCTGACAAGACGGATCTCGTATAAACATAAAATGTGAAAGAATTGAAAAAAAAAATGAGTCAGCATTATCCATATAATAAGTTTTAAAATACTGCTTAGATAGAAGAGTCGTTTTCTAGATAATAAAAAGAAACACCTTCACCGGAATCTGTTTCTAAATGGTCTTTACAGCAGAAGAAAGTAGGTTCCTCGATAGCGGAGTAAATGAACTCCCACAATCCCCGCGGTGCGGAGGGGAGTGGATGCTCGGATCCAAGAGGATTATGAGAAATCTAGAATAGATAAGAACCGATTGGAAGGGGTGATTTGAATTGTGGATATGGGAAGATTTCTCATTTCAACTGATAAATAAGATGAATGATGGAAGGCTGAATACCCTAAAGGAAGAGCAGGCCGCAACCTCGACAGTGGTGTAACTGAAGAGAACTGCATCACAATGAAACTTTTTCTCTACACCTCTTCCACTTGAAGAAAAAAGAACCAATTTTATTCTTATTCTATTGATACACTTTAACATCGCCAAATTTTTACTCACTTATAAACACACTAACCATTGCATAGTTACACCTACAATAAGTAAGTAAATAATGGTTGTAAGACAATTTATATATTTTTTTTTTTAAATCTCGAAGCATTGTGTCCCAGGCAGCCTCTGCGTCGTTATGCATTGGCGTTCTTTAAGCCAAAGGTTCTTTACTTAAATCAAACAGCTAAAGGATTTTTCCTTTAAAGAAAATACGAGGGCATAAATATAAAACTCTAATAATTAATCAATATAGCGAATAAATAGTCATGTGAATAAATGTCATGTACCTAGATAGCCCTGGAGCCAGGGCCAAAAAAAGGACCTCATAGCAGGCGAAGGTTGAATACAAATTATGAAAGTGTATAACATTTTAATTAAAATGAGCTTTATCTGCCATTCCAAAGCCGCTGCTTTCAAAATCGGCGGCCATGCAAAGAGGACCAAATTTGCCGGAAACGGATCTCATCGCAGGCTAGATAAAACTTTGATAGATGAATCTTTCTACAATGAAGGGCCATTTTTGAGCAGTCTGCCGCTGCTTTCCATCGACAGACTTAATTTAAAAAATTGCAACTTTAGGATAGTAAATTTACCAAAATTAGGAGCCTTGAAATTATAACTACAATGAATGTGTGTGATAAAAGAAAGAAAGAACTTTGTCTGCCTATGATAGGTCGCGGCAATCTACTGGCAGGCTCAAATTAAAAAAATGCAATTTTAGATGCAAAAATTTACTATAGTTAGGAGATTAAAAACATCGCGATATGATACTGGTATATTAGCAGTTAAATAAAACTTAATCTGCCTATGTTAAGCCGCAGCCATCTACTGGCAGACTCAAATTCAAAAATTGTAATTTTAGGTGCAAAAAATAACCAAAGTTAGGAAGCTTGAATTTTCACTACATAATCCCTTCTTACCAATAGTTAATTAAAAATCAAGTCTGCCATCCAGAGGCCGTTGCTTTCAGTAGGCAGGGTGAGCTTCAATGGAAGAAGCTATAGTGAAAAAAAGATTGAACTGTCAAGTTATCGCTTATAATGAATCATTTATTATTCCATTGTTTGATCTTCAACCTATAAAGATCTAACAACTGTTTTTTTTTTTAATAAATAAATACATTTTTAAAACATTAACCTTTTTTAAAACAATAAATATGTATTTTTTTATTTGATTAATATTAATAAACTAGAGAACTTTTTCCACATGCATTCACTACTTTTGCAGTTCCTTATTTCATTTCCTAAGGTATTTCATACGATTTGTGAGCTCGATGTACCACTCATGTTATTAAGGGCGGAGGTGCATATTGCGCTACGGGATTGGTATAAAAACAAATATTTTTTACAACATGAGCAGATGTATGATAAAATATGCTTCAATTTGTGTGTACTGATTACCACACCGGTATTCCACAACGTTAATTAATTCTAAAAATTCTGGTGTAATTCTAAAATATAATCAATCAAAATTTATTGCTTAAATATCTAAGAATACTTTAAGCAAATTGTAAATTATTATTGTAATAATATTCTGTTTTTCGAGAATTAGTTAAGTAAGACAGCCAAAAAAGAAAAACAACTAAGTCCTCACAAGTAAATAATAGAAAAAAATAAATATATATATATATATATATATATATATATATATATATATATATATATATATATATATGTATATATTTATTTTATAGCCACACTAATATTGTAAAAATCAAAATTTAAGTACGTTTAACTAATGTTTTTACATGACATTAGGTTGAATAAAAGAAGGCTCGAAAAGAGAGTTTAGAATGAAATGGAGGGGGCATAATTTTTGACTTTGGGACATTGTTTGACCTAGTAAGGAGCTAAAGATGTTAAAAGTGACCACTCTTAGGTAGTTAACCAGATGTGGGGGGGGGAGGGGGGAACACCTAGTATGTCATTTTTTTCCGCGCTATCGCTTATATCAGGAAAACTATCCATCGCATCGACAAAGACTTTCTATACAAAATTAAAGCTGATAAAATTTAAAATACGATGGAATATATACCTTTTCTCGCTACCTCGCTTAGATTCCGACATATCCGTCCTCAACTAAGGCTAAAGTTGAAAAAAAAGTTGTAAACACATGTTTATTGCTGTTTTTCGGGCTTTCGCTTATATCAGGAAAACTATCCATCACATCGAAAAAGACATTCTATACAAAATTAAAGTTGATAAAATTTACAGTATGATTGATTATATATTTTCTTTCGCTACCTCGCTTAGGTTCCGAGATATCTGTCATCAACTATGGCTAATGTTAAAAAAAAAAAATCCACGTGTTTATTGCTGTTTTTCGGGCTTTTGCTTATATCAGGAAAACAATCCACCGCATCGACAAAGACATTCTATACAAAATTAAAACTGATAAAATTTTCAATATGATTGATTATATACCTTTTCTAGCTACCTCGCTTAGGTTCCGAAATATCCGTCCTCAACAATGGCAAATGTTGAAAAAAAAATTGTCCACATGTTTAGATCACAAACTCTTTTATCACACACATTCATTGTAGTTATAATTTCTAGGCTCCTAATTTTGGTAAATATATTACCCTAAAGTTGGAATTTTTTAAATTAAATCTGCCAATGGAAAGCAGCGGCACAGAAATGGCAGACTGCTCAAAAATGGTGCTTCATTGTAGAAAGCTTCATCTAAGGAAGTTTCATCTAGCCTGCGATGAGGTCATTTCCGTCAAATTCGGTCCTCTTTGAATGGCCACCATTTTTTAAAGCAGCGGCTTTAATTAAAATGTTATACACTTTCCTGATTTACATTCAAACCTTCGTCTGCGATAAGGTACGTTTTTTGGTCCTGGTTCAAGAGTGGAACATGTAGGGCGCCGTTTGAGAAAAGCGTTCCTAAATTCACAAATTATCAAATTTAAAAATCCAACCAAACTAATAATACAAGCTACTTTCAAATAATCCCGCGATTCCTATAATTGGTGAGCTGTGGTGAACGAATCCGGGAGGCGCATAGTGGGACGGGAGGAAAGGCGGCTTTTCGAGGATCTCTGTCTAGAACTCGTAAATAATGTCAGATTAATTTGATATGTTATAACACTATATTTTCAATCCAGGAAACATGAGTATGGCGTTAAAAATGAAAAAACAAATCCACGAAAAACAGAAAATTTTGAATTCTTTTTTTAAACCAGGGAATTTGGAAATTTGACAATAATTTAATTTTGAACATAATAAAGGCGTCTTGAAACTTATAATTGTATATACCTACTTATAACTAATGTCTATATTACTACATATAATCGTTAGTTTCCCGAATTTTCCCGAGAATAGAAAAATTCAAAAACCTCAGCTCCACAATCACAGCTCCCATAAAACTTCCTCCTTCAGCAAATCCTTCGTCATTCATGCTGCTTCCTTATGGAACTCACTTCCTACCTCCATGCGTCAATTCTCGTCCACAAATTCCTTCAAACAACTCCTGTTCCACCACCTACTCCACATTCAAACTTCCCCTAACATGTAACATTACTTGCATCTTTACACTGTTTAATTTCAATCTATTGCACAATTGAAATAACAATTAACAGTAAATTAGTTTGTATTTTTATTATTATGTCAGACTAAGACCTATAAATTTGTAACTCTGTTATTATTCTTAGGAGACACTAGTCCCAGAATAAAATTATTTTTTCATTTCATTTCATTCATTCATTTCATTTCACAATAATCTTAATGAATGACCAACGGGCTGAAATAGGCCAACGTATAACTAGCGCAAATAGAGCTTTCTTCTCCCTTTTAAAGGTATTGAAATCCCGAAAAATCTTAAGAAATCGATTTGAGGTCAGATGACTACAGATGGA